TTTTAATAGATTCCACCCCGTCTAGCAGAAACAAGAAAATAAATGCACATGAAGGCATATCATCAACTGTCGCCCAAATTGTAGGATTTCCTCACACAAAACCTTCCTGTTTCTCGGCCTATCGTTCTACGTACCTGGTAGCAAAGAAGAGACAGAATTAGCCGACGTTTTGATGCGAATATATTGTCTGTTTGCTCGCCAACTGGAATGAGCTTTATGACCGTACGTTCCGCTGTTGCCCACCCTCCGCCTCCGACATTTAAAATTGCCTCCAGCGTTTTTTTCAGACGCCAGCGTCGCTTATTTATTGCAAAGTTTGTGAAAAACAGAGCTTGTATTTGCATCGGAAAATTTCAGCAGGCGACGTCCGTATAACATCGTGTTGTGGATATTTTTTTTTTGAGGTGACAAATGGGGCAAGTTGATTGGGTCAAGAGTTCAGACGAGTTATATAATTATAATTTATTTTCATTGGACAATCAAAGCTTGTATCACAATCGTCAATGGAGCGGCTGCACTTGTGATTCTACAAGGTGGAAAAAAGGAAATTTGGGGGTTGCGTATTATAGATGAATTTACATTTTTTGGCATATTTCCGGTTTGACCGGAAACGACTCCAACTTTCAATTTTCAAGCGGGACATATATGTTTTACTTATTTCGATCGGGAATAATATTCTGAACTCAACAACGCCTCACTTGTCAATATTTGACTAATTAAGTCATTTTTATTTTTCGATCTAGAATGCCACGCATCCCATGAGTCGCTTTTCTTTGATCAAGTAACACGGGAAAGATACGATTTTGAGGCAAACCTTACAGCCGTTTTAGAGTTTTTTTATGAGACCATTTTCTTATGAATAATTTGACACCACTCACTCTTACATTATTTTCACCATTTTTCTGAATAATTGTAAGAAACGATCATTCCTAACAATAAATAATACGTATCTGCATTCGGTACACCTAAGCACTAAGTCCTCTTATTCTAGTTATACGTGAAAAACGATTGATTATGAATATTTTTCTGTTTTACCTATGAACCGACGAATTCACCTCACATCTTAATTAAATATTTATTTTGAAGATAGACAGGTTCTTTATTGCCTGTCCGGTGATGCGGTAATGTCGGTGATCTACCGGTTTGTATATACCTTTTTGTAGGCACAAAAATCAATTTAGGGCAAGTGGAGTAAGGGATTAGGATGTACATACGTTTGTAATCACAGGCAAGCCAAACCTACGCCTCTCGTGTGCCCGACTGCCTAAATGTGTATGTGTATGATTGATATGGGGTATAAAACTACGAAGACTAATACAATTAACTTTTAGCTTTATCTTTATCTTTCGTGGAGAGTGAGTCCTGAATAATTAAATTTTCTCAAACATTTGGCAACGCTGCAATGCAACCGCGATACGAGTGCACGAAAATATGCCTTGAATTATTGAATACTTTTACGCAATTTTTTGTGACTAATATTTTTTATTCAATAACGCTTTCAGTACAGTACATTTTCTTAAAAAAAAATGACAGTACTTATCGGTACGTGGCGATATTCTCCATCAATTCCCACGATTATCAGTCACTTATTTGAAACGATGCGATGCACGAAAAAAGAAAAATTCAACATCTGTAAATCCCATAAAGTAACAATTAAATGTATTAGTAATCACAACACGCGATGATACACGCAGTGCAGGAGGAGTACGACGTTGCCAGTTGTGTGAGGGATTCTGTTTGTCCGTTTTTCTTCGGAAAATTGTATTTAATAAGCAAGACAATTATTTTGTTATAGACAATATATATACAACAAATAGATGTATTGATACATTTTAAGCAATTAGGCATATGACTTTAAATTATTAACGTGCAAAATTAATTTATGACTAAAAAGAAATAAGTTCAGCATTTTTTTGCTCCGAAATGGTTGATTTTCGGATATAGGTTATAATGAACTTTTTTGCTTAGAATAATACAAGGAATCACCTCTTAAAGTTACGAGTATCATTTCCCTAACACCCTGTAGAGTGTGGATGTTTGTTCACCTCCTGAATAGCGAAAAATATTTAGCTTTGTCATCAAGTAGGTGTTTAATGGATATCTGCAGCAGGTTATGGGAAAAATCGGTAAAATCGCATATCAATTGAAGAAAATAATATACACCGATTATTTCCGAAAAATATTTCGATAATTTCAACTCTTTCTGCTGTGGAATATACCGCGGTTAATTTATGTAATAAAGCGTTACAAGTTATTTTAGCAACAAAGTTTGGTCAAATCAATCACAAACTATGTACTAAATTCCTATTTAAAATAAGTACGAGATATTTCCTTATCTTTCTTCAAGAAATAACTTTTTTGCCACAAAAAAACGCCCCTATAGCTATTTTTAACAAACAATGGGCGTAGTGAAGAAAACCATTTACTTATTAAGTAAATTCTTTTAGTCAAATTTCTTCTGAAAGTAGTACAAACTAATCCGATGTACCTATTAAAGTCTACTTTAAGCTTTAAATCAATAAATCTTCAAAACTACTGAACTGAAGTACATTAATTTTATATCATTATAAAAGGAATTGAAAGACCTTTAAAATAAAGTATTACTCAACCCCCTCTTTCAATTTAAGATTTTAGGGTTGGTGTCACCCCCGCCGAGGGGGCTGCGCGTGTTAACGTGATTTTTTGCCAAACTTGTGTCCCCGTCGAAAACAAAATCGACGGGTCTGAGCGTTTTTCCAAAAAAAAAACTGAACTGCCGGTAAATGCGTCTGTTTCGTTTTGCGATGCGTCACTCTGTATATAAAAGGTATGGGAAATCAGAGATGAAGACAAAAATGGACTGTTATCCCTTGAAATGGATTACTGGAGACGTAGCGCGGGAATTTCAAGATTGGACCATATTCCATATACCAACGAGGAGATAAGAAGGAAAATGGGAGTAGAAGGAAATACCATGAAACCCATCGAGCTCAAGATACTTATATGGTATGGTCACTTACAACGTATGAATAACGATAGAGGGCCTAAAAAGATATGGAATTGCTGAGAAGAGGAAACCCAACAGGCCACCCAGGAGTTGGAAAACTGATGACACAGAAGCCATGAGGACAAGAAATCTTCAGGAGGGTGACTGGGAGGATCGAAAACTGTGGAGATTCAGCTATAGCTGTAAAAAAACTCGTAAATTTATATATATATATATATATAACTTGAGACGTGGTCATTGTCATTTACTCATATTTGCTAAACTGCGAAAAATTGGAGAACTTACATATCTCCCCAAATTTCGACTCTTCACAACCATAAATAGAATCTGTGTTTTGGCCGATTCCACCAGTAAATTTCATTCCACTCAAAATATAATAATTCTCTTCTCACGATTTATTAATAATTGTTAATTAAAATTCCCATTAATTAAAATATAGTTTATTCAACTGCTTCTGGTCGGTTTAACAATTTCTTACATAACATTCTGAAAATCACATCATCTGAAATGATTTGGCAACGTTTGGCACACGCCCACAATTCGTTCCATCTTTCAACACAGACATTGACAACCTTCGGCCTTCTGTCAAAGGGTTCATCTCACTCATTATTCCTTGACCACCATTTTGTGCAATCATCAAGTGGCTTCACGATGTAATGCTCTAATGTTTTTTAAATAATTTTTAATCTGTTTTTAACTTGTTCTTGTCATATTTTATATAATTTTGACCATTGTACCATCTATCCAGCTCTCACCATGTTACTGGACGTTTCCCTCATCCTATACGTAAACAACAATTAGCAACATCCTCACATACTACTGTAAGTTGAGTCAATTTAAATTCATTTTACACTTTTGTTGCTACTGTTATCATTGTAATTGCAGCTCCTGATGATGATGGCAAAGTCCATTGAAAGCTAGAGAGAATTAAAAAAGTATAAAGAGTCCTCTTTGCTTAAATTTTGTCGAAGTACCCAACAAAAGGCGGAAGCTTTAATTTTTTATATATATATATATATATAACTGTTAGGAGAAAGTATCGTTCAATTCTTTGGGTAGAAGGCAAATTATTGCAAAAGTACACTCTTATAACTTAAACTCGAGCTTTCGAAGATCTATGTCTTCATCGTCTGGAGCTCGAAACAATTATTGACAATAGCAACAATTAACATTTATTCGTCGACTATGTGTTCTCTTCACTGTTATTTAAAAACAATTTCAGCAACAATGTCGCCGTCTTAGTAACTATTTTTCCTATTAATTGTTAATTGTTGCTATTGTCAATAATTGTTTCCAGCTCCAGACGATGAGGACATAGATCTTCGAAAGCTCGAGTTTAAGTTATAAGAGTGTACTTATGGTTTCCAATACAGCGGCCTAACGTGTAGAGGAGCCATTAGACCGTCCCGACGAGTATGAACTGACATTAGAACCTCATCCGGAGCCCCTTGACGAGCACGAACCGGCAACAGAACGACGCCTCTGATGGCAGCAGGTTGCGTATCTAGCTTAATTAATTAAAAGAGACGACGTTGCTGTATAGTGCTGCTGCCTGCCGCCGGTGGTTGTATGTTGCTGTATGTATTTATGTAATATAAATTTTCCCCGGGGTATATTCGGAATAACCGCATACAAGGTGGCGCGCAAAATGCTAACAGTGAAGATATCCGCCCGCTGTACTGAATCGTACTAGAATCAGCAGGGTATTACGTACGCGTACGGTGATTGGATTCGAGCAAAGTTCGGAAAATAGTGACAACATTGTAACCCAAAATTATGAAATTTAGCGTTTACTTTCTGATTTGGGTAAATTTTGAGATTCTCTAATGGTTTTGCAATTTTGTAGGATGGATTCAAGGATAGCAGTTTTGGGCATGTAGCACTTGCCGACACCCAAAGCACTCTTTATTCCCTCTAGATTAAAGAAACTTCCAACTTAATGCTAGGATAATTACTTGACTCTTTCAACCGACCCAATATTTGTTTCACTTGTCAGCTCCACCTTCCAGAAAATCTGGTGTAGAGCCGCCCATGAGCATTGGTATCTATTAAAAGGAGCATCTGGCCAGCATGGTAATGAGCCGTGGTCGATGGAGATCGTGCAGATTTGGATGGTCATGTACCCAAGACTTACTGGCACACATATAACGTCGCGAGTAACTGTTTTCTTCTTACGAGATGCGCTTGTCGATGTCACCGGCGTCTGTTTGAGACGTGACATACTGCGTGCAGTGCTCGAACATAGAACCGCTAGAAATGCGATTCTGCTACGGTTTCTGTGTACGGCTGCATTTGTGTGATTGAAATCGGAATCAGTGTTTATTTCATGAGCAGGAAGTGGCTTGGTTTGAAATTATAGTGCGACGCTGATCCGTATTTTGAAATTGGGAAGTGTCATTTTATATGGATGAATTTTGAGATGTGAGTATTTCTCTTCAAATGTTAATAAAAAGCATTGTATGGATCAGGACATATTCATTGTTTTTTTTTTTAACGTGGAGGCATGACTAAAGCTTTGTTTTGAGCCAGGTTCTTCATATAATGAGTAAACCGATTTCGTGCGTTTGTCATGACCTTTGCCAGCATAGCAGACGTTATGTTGGTAATTTTTTCTTGGATGTTGGTTTTCAAACCATGTAGGGTCATTGAACGGTTCACATAATCGCGGGATTTCAAAAAGCTCCATAGGGGCCAGATCGGGAGGGCGAGCCGGCCACTTCAATTTACCCCTAATTCCATCCTTACAAAATGGAAATTGTGCAAGAACTTTCTGAACGCGACTTCAATTCCCGGTTGCGCGCTTGTGGGCGGCTTCTTGAAGTCATTCCTGAGGACGATATTTTTTAGTGATGATTTATGTGGATCTGTCATCGAACAAAACTTGAGCTTCTAAGCTTTTTTTCTGTGTTTTTTGGAATCCCGTGTTCATGAGAAGCATCAGGGACCCTAGTCCTGCTGTTGGGAAGCTGACAAGGTACATCAATATTCAAAATCTTTTTTCTGTTCCTTTTGCAATTTTACAGCTTTTCAGAATTTTCAAAATTTTTACGACTCAAGATTTCTGAAATTTTCAACATTGCCTTGATTTCCACTCCACTTTTCAGAACCTTTAAATCTTTCAACTTTCTAAAATTTCCGAGGTTTACAGTGACAAAAACTCTCACACTTTTCAAGATTTAAAAAATTTTAGGTATCAAAAAGTTTGGAGTCGATAAATTTTTAGTTTTTTCTCTCTAGGGAGAGAAATGCTATATCTCAATAGGGCTTTTCGGTATATAATGCTGATTTTCCATGTTAGTAGTGAAAAAATATGGAAACCTCGAAGATGAAAATTTGAAATGGCAAAGATGTCCGTATAATTCTTCCGATCCACATTCCATATTTTCTAAATTTTTGTGACACAAAATTTTCAAAGTTAGATTGATTCTTACTTCACTTTGCAATATGTTTTGTTTTCTTCTCAACGTTTTTAGTTTTCCACACTTTAAGGTTTTCATGATTTTCAAAATTTTAATGATTTCCAAAATTTCCGAAATTTCCAAAGTTTTAAATTGGATATTTTGGGGTAAATAATGATGATTTCTCGTATTACCAGATTTCTCCTAAATCTGTAGAAACATGTAAAATTCTGAAAAGCAAAATTTAAAATTACAAGGATGTTCGGAGAATGTGCAGGTGTGTGATAGTCGAGATTTCCTTTGTTCTCTACAATTTTTCCGATTACGGTACAAAACATGATCTGTCCTATTTCTAGGTATCTATCATACTTCGTTTTGCTTGTGGCACTGGTATCCACAAACTGCGAGAGAAATAACCCGTCTTGTAGCTGCTGGGAAGGTTACAAGGCTGAATATAACCAAAATGGCTATCAATGTGTAGCCCTATCAGAGTTTCACATAATGCCTTGCAATATGCCAAAAGCCCCAAAGTGTTTATGTTCAGGAAAGGTCAGCAATATTCTCAAAGACAGAACAGGTAAGAGTAGATACGGGAACATGCATGATTTTTTGTATTTTCCGACGTTTATTCATGTCAATACAGTACTGAGAACATCTATTTCGATCATGTAAATATCTGTATTTTTTTAATTAAATATGCCAATAACGTGGACTTGCACGCAGCATTTTACGTGCGCCGAGCAATGACGTCATAGCTCTTGAGTTGTCGTTTAATTGTATATTTGGTGTCATGATAAGTTTCGAAGAGTTCTATTCTATATCATCTAGTTTTAATAAAAAAAAACAAGCATGGAAGAACATAAATATTATTGTAATATAAATACTGTAATGTACCCATATGCGAAGATACAATACGTAAAGCACTAGACAAAGCATTTTTTCATATTCCCTGAGATGCTAAGATGAGGGATGAGTGATGTAAATCAAGAAGATCATTTTAACGTAAATATAATTCACAGACTACCATTCCAAATTCGATTAATTTTTATTCATCTTAGATTACAAACATTATGTATTATTTTCCACTTGAAATTTAAAGAAGACTATTCTACAAATTGTACCTTGTCAGACATTTCTTGTCAGATAACAGTGTGTGTATATGACTCATATACAATCTTCGGGTTTCTTCTGCATAATACTAAGGAAGCCGACCGCAAATTTTTGGTGACATCATAGGCGTTTTATTATGATGCTAAACAGCAAACACGGCAAGTCAACATGTCAACATGTTTTTGGTTACATCTAATTTACTCGCGTTGCTTGTCTCCTCTTAGTCAGTCTATAAAAAGCTATGTACTATATTAGTGGAGCTATATAACCTCACCACAATATAATTTAACTAATTTATGTGTTGTCCTTAATGGGTCTTATCAGCGGGGAAGGTTTAGGCTTGCACCTTAGAAATGGGGCATTGTAGTGCCTATGTTCATGAAAATCTTTTTATGCAACTGCTGAAATTTATACTGTGGTTATCATCTTCATATGACTCCATAGGCCGAAACATCGTCATTGCCTTTTGGATTACCCTGTATAACAGTCATGTGATCAATTATTCAGTTTTCAAAAACGTACCTTTTCTTTTGTAAAGTAAAGTTCCCATCCTCACTTTATTTTAGTAGAAGTAGCATGGTCGGGACGATAAAGTTGGTGCATGAATAATGTAATGTCGAATTAATTACTGTGGTACTAATTTATTACAAATTTACGACTTCGTCAACTGCACTACGGCGCTCTGCGCTGTTGACTTTCCGTCGGGAAATGTATTTTTCTTCGAATCGACGAGTCCAGAAGCACTCCCGAGTTTTCTAGGCCGAACTTGAGCTTTCATCGGAGCTTGTTAGATGGCGGTCGATACTTGTTAGTTGGTGCGTGTCCATTATGGACGGTCGCGTAATTCTGGTTGCCTAAGCGTCCATGTTTCAAGGGTGTCTTATTGTTACTCACAAGTACTTACGCTACCTTGAAACATTTTTAAATGGGATGGGTGGTACCTCATTTTGAAGCTCCTTGGTGGTGCTGGTATATTAACCTAATAAAGAAATACCTGATCTTCAAATTCGAAGATGATCTGAACTTCTTTTGTTTGACAATTTTTGCTGTATCTCTAGAAATGGTGGGGGGTTTCAAAGGTTTCCGTAAAGAACACCCTGTATCTTCGAAACGGCTGAGCCAATTTCAATAAGCTTAGGCTGGTTGAAAAGAGCTATCCTTAGGCTTCAATTGTTATAATATCTAATGTTTTGTTAGTTTCACATGTGGCCGCTGGGTGGCTTTTTTGACATTCCGATAGAAACGGTTAATTTTCTCATAAATTGCAAATTGGCATATTTTGACATTTTTTAAAAATTGGTTTACCATATTTCCGGATAGTGCCTCTTGATAATTAGAGTTATAAGATTCGCTGTACAAAACATTCGACTGTAGCGAATGAAATGTACTGCGAGCTAACACGGGCTTTTTGAGGAGCACAGTGTATGGTTCCCAGATGAGAGTGTATTCTCCTATTTTCAGGAACATGGTGCACGAGATATAAAAATGGAGCTGAATTCAGGCGCTGGCCATGTGAAAACACTAGAGAGTGGGACGAGTTTTTCAAAAAATATCCAGATTTTATATAATAACACATTACAACTACTGAAGCTTACTATTTAGTTTCCATATTCATAGGTTTCCACTGATTGGCGGAGCCAAACCAGAAATATGATTCAGTTTCTGTTCTCTGTTCTTCAAGTACTTGAAAAAGGCCACCGGGGTGGCCGAAATTTAAAATAAACAGAAGTTTCTCTAATTGCCACTCATTTAACTGTAAGTCTATGATGTTCATACTATATTGATCTATTTTTGGTTATTTTATAATTGTAGACTACTCTCCATGTATGTTTTTAGTTTGTCTGTTCGTTTTAGAGGGTTTTGCCCCTAATAAAAAATATAAAGCTGCCTATTCCCCATCGGGAAAGAATATTTTTAAAATGTTTGTTTTACTAACAGCTAAATAAAAGCTTGTTTGTGAAACTGTGTTTTTCCTTTTATTTATTTCATACTTTTTACTGTTTGTGACGTTAAATAACTAGTTTAGTAACTTCTTTCTAATTCAAATATACAGGATGCAAGATAAGGATCTTACGCATGGTGATCTCAATACCTGTACGAGAATCAGCTTAGATCGAATTAGAAAACTACCTAGATATTTTGTCGGTTTTTTGACATTTTTTTTTAGATTCGCCGGCCACTTTATTTGGTACTCACACCCGCATTACTATAGAAATTATAAATTGGAATTTTGTATCATCCATCATAATGAATTCAAAATGGCGGCACATAGTTTATTGTGTATTGTCGTGCTAACCAAACGGATATATAAAATTTCATTTGAATTAGTCCAGCAAAGGTGCAGATCCACAATGAAACTGGTTCGCGACATTTTTGTTCATTGTGGAAACAAGCGTGATATACGTGCGATATGTGAGATCAATGTCTCATGAGAGTTTAATCTCTTGTACAAGTTTCAGCATATAAACATATATCGCAAACCTGACATAAGACATTTATTTCAGTTGATGCTCCCTACGTTGCTATAAGAACTCTCGATGTATGGCAAGATAAAACTTGGAAATGGTTGTACTAAGTGAAGAGAGAGGAAGAAAGAAGATCAGTTTAAATTGGACTAGAGCCATGACAGTAGAGTTAATAGAGTTATATGAATCAACATCAATCTGTGGAGTTGCTTGTTAGAAAGCAATTAAAATATACTAAGTGACAAATAAATCCGAACACCCAGTTTAAATGGTTTTATTTTAATAAAAGTTGGTGAATGTATTTATCTTACCGTAAATAACAAGAGAAAAAATTTTCAGCCTTATCAGTTGGACATTCCGGTTTTTATACTGCTTTTTTTTAATTCAATAACGCTCTAAAAATGAATATTTCAGCCGCAGTAAAGGATCAACGTTGGCGGATTTTGGTTCTTGACATCCTTTACGATCGGTTACGATGCCTAGAGTACGGAGACCTGTACGATTTCGTCAACTTAGTGAGTTTGATAGGGGCCGTATAGTGGGACTTCGGGAAGCTGGACTTTCTTTTCGGGCAATTGCAGTTAGAGTGCAAAGAAGTGTAGACACTGTGGTTAGGTGTTGTCAGGCATGGCTTCGAGAAGGCCGTACGCAAAGAGCAAGGGGCACTGGACGCCGCCGTAGAACAACAGACCGTGAAGATCGCCACCTAAGATTATTCGTCTTAAGGTACCGTTTCTCCACTACCAGGTCCATTGCAAATGAATGGTTTGCAGAACACGGAAGACCTATTGGCATGCGAAGTGTTTACCGACGAATGAGAAGTTTTGGCTTGTTTTCATACCGGCCACACTGGGTCCTCCCTTTAACTCGAGAACACCGACGTAATCGCCTTGAGTGGTGCAGACAACGGTCACTCTGGGATCAGGAATGGAACAGTATTGTCTTTAGTGACGAGTCTCGATTTTGTTTAGGCATGCACGATGGTCGTGCCAGGGTTAGAAGGCGATGTGGTGAAAGGAGGAATCCACAGTTTTTTGTTGAAAGACATGTTCGTCACACTGTTGGAGTTATGGTTTGGGGTGCTATAGCTTATGGTTCCAGGTAACCTTTAATCTTCATCAGAGGTAACATGAACGGGCAGCGTTATATCCACGAAGTTCTAGAACCCCATCTTTTACCCTATCTTGACACCCTGGCAGATCCAACTTTCCAACAAGATAATGCCCGACCACATGTTGCAAGAGTCACAATAGACTTCTTTCAACATAATGATGTCACATTGTTACCATGGCCACCAAGATCTCCCGACTTATCCCCAATTGAGCACGTGTGGGATATGATGGGTAGGAGATTGCTCAATTTGCAACGTCCTCCTCAGACTCTAGAAGCATTTCGAGAGGAGTTGGTGGTTGCCCGAAATGAGATACCACAGGAGGACATTGACCACCTGATCAGAAGCATGCCTAGGCGCGTTGGAGAATGCGTAGCATATCAGGGTGCATCCACACATTATTAAAGGTCAAAGCAGTGCAATCATTTTGGAATTTTTATCATTTACTTATTATGCTTCATTAAGTACTTATACAAAATTTTATTAAAATAAAACCATTTAAACTGGATGTTCGGATTTATATGTCACTTAGTATAGAAATGTGTGTCTTGATTTTTTATATCATTAATTTGTTCAGCAAATACCGAAAGTCAGCAGCGGACATTCAAAGAAAGTTTTCTCGTTCTTCTAATAATGTTCGCATTATATGATTTTCTCTTTTCTTAATCCGATCTCTCACCCAACATTTTTGAAGCCTTTTGTATACAGTTTTGGTTTTAACAGCAAGCTAATGAAGACAAGCCGCATTTCTTTTGGCTTTTTTATTGGCGTCTTTAACCCGCAATTATTTGATAATGATCAATAATTTTGTGATTATGAATTTTATGATTTTATGATGTATATGCCTCGTGTGAGAGCAAAAACTGAAAGTAGCATAACTTGAGTGTTTCAGAGAAATCCTCATGTTTTGTGAGAACATATCCGACACAGAATTCTCATAAGATAAAAATCTGTGAGATATTAGTCTGCTTGCTGCTTAACAAGGCATGTTAAGTAAAAGGTTGTAACAAAAACTTATAAAGATGATAACAATGTCAGCTAGATTCAATGCTAAATAAAAACTTTTCTTTCCACCTACCTACGTGATTGGTGCTATTAGTGTTTAATCAGCTAGGTATAGTATCGAAATGTCGAGCGATTAATCATTTGTGATTTAACTTCACATTGAATCTATGGCTAATTGCTTCTGGATATTTGTTTCATTGTATAGATTCCTGTAATACAATGGCAATCGCGAAAAATACTTCAAACGAAATATGCATTGATAGTGTTATTCCCGCCAATTAATCGCTTTTTCATCCAAATCTAGAAAGCAAAATACGCACAATACACAAACGTACCCCCGCTGGTTGTGCATTGAAAATTTCCGACCGGAAAATTTATACAAATTTGCATAATTGTAAAATAATTCATGCGGACATTTATTAGTTCCAGCTACGGCAATAATAATGCTCAAAATTAATATTTAAATTCCGTCAGTTTTATATTGGGATGCATACCTCGTGCACATATTCGAGCAATTTGTTAAATTGTTTGTATTAATATAATGTTTATGCGAAAATCAATGTAGCGTTAAGCGAATGTACGATATTAACCTTCTAAACTGCAACCTTTTCAAACATATATTTGACACGTTGCTCTAACTCTTTTGCGGCTTAAGGGTGAAATTCAATCCGCAATGGTGTATGTTCCAAATAAAACACTAAACAGAAACCTAGACACTCTTTATTCGAGAAGTTATTCGGTACTGCAGGCACAGCGACGTTCATAAACACTCAAGGTCGCATTTTTAGTACATGCAAAATCTTAACCAACATTTTCGCTTTTGGTTCATCTCGATATTAATCTGCATGCCTAGTGAAAAAGCCTAGATGTTTCCTTTTAGTCTAGGTTTAGGTGTTCCTTCTTTATTCTAAAACGATTACACTTTACTTTTTTTTTCTTTTTCTGGTTTCTTCGACATTATTTTAGTTAATCGGTTTCAGAAGGTAAACATTGATATGGTTTTGTCTCCTATGTCCCTCATTTTCTCTGGAGTACTGCAAGGATCTGTGCTTGGACCACTGCGATTTATTTTATCTGTATATACAGGGTGTCCGCAAAGTTGGGGTTTTCCTTTTCAGGAACAACTACCCTTCAAATAACAAAGGTAATGTGTAGTGAAACGAGGGCAACCAAGTAAAAAAAATAAAGGAAAAAGTACTCACTCTCCAGTTGACGAGAAGGGCTAAGTACGTCTCTGCCCGAAATCATACCGCTCCAACAGAAAATGAAATCAGCTGATGCGCTACCGAGCAGACGCAGAAACCACATTGATTGTCGTACACTTAATGGCACATGTTCTAACAAGGAAGGCAAAATGTTGCGTAAAAAGTCTAGGTATTGCATCCCGTCCAATCGATTTGGGAGAATAAATGGTCCAATGAGCATACCGTTCACCATGCCAGCCCAAACATTCACCGAAAAAGGTTTGTTGAAAATGTGCCCGACGGACAGCGTGCGGATTTTCTACTGACCAAACATGAGTGTTGCGAAAGTTATTCACCCCATTACGCGTCAACGTAGATTCGTCTGTCACCAATATGCACTTCAAAAAGTCCGAATTATTGTCATGTTGATGCAACAACCACTCGCAAAACCGCACCCTTGCTGGAAAATCGTCAGGTTGAAGGGCTTGTACACGTTGGACGTGAAACGGATACAGCCCCTCTTCACGCAGCGTTTGCCACACTTTAGTTTTTGATACTTGCACTTCTCTAGCCACGCCTCTAGTGCTTGTTGAGGGATTCTCGTCTACGCGATAACCTCTACACGCGTGACCGTAACCGTCAGTTGAAGGTTGCATACTGACCTGATACACTGACCCCGACCCAGTACTGTCGTCGGGTTGAGCCAGTGACCTTGTACCAGTCGGTGATGTCGCGGCTACAGGACGGTATTCAGACATTTTTGATGTTGCAGAGCCCTTTATCTCGGTTCCCTTAAGACATTGGTGTATATGGTACTGAGAAGAATTGCTTATGTTTTCAAGATCTACATGTCGTGTAAAGGAAAACCCCAACTTTGCGGACACCCTGTATATATATATCAGATCTACAAGCCACTGTAAAACGTTGCAGTGTTCAGTTCTTTGCTGATAATTGTCGCAGTTGCAAGATTCAGCCAACAGGGTTGTCAATGAGGACTCAAATCTATTAGTGAATACGTAAAAAATCATAATCAAAAATCATTATTTTTTCACCAAAACCTTTTAGAAACGATATCAAAAATAATTTTAGTATACACCTAAATGGCTCTACTATATACAGAGATACAGCTGGATATACGTTGTTTTTTTATAAACAATGAGAAAAGCGCAAAATTCGGTGTACTGTTTGTATAATTTTCAAATTCAATTTTATAAATGATCGGTAAGCAAGAGATTTGATAGCATAAAAAGACAATCCATTTCGTTTTTTAAGGATTTAAATCGATAAACAATTCTAAACACCGGACTTTTTACCAATATTGAATAAATGTTTATAACTGTTGCGGATCCAAAACGGCATTTTCGAATGCGTCGTACAGCGCGCTCCAATTTGAAGGCTCATCTTCAAAATATAAATCAAGCTAGAGCTGATCTCCCCGCCACCGCACCCAGAAATACTTCACTTTAGATAACTATTTTTTATTATTATTTATTATAAATTGGATCATAAAATTGAGGTACTTGCTTAAAATCTGTGAAAAATGTCGAGCCTTAATGTTTATAAACGACAAGGTTTTTTAAAACATGCGTTTTTCAACCACATATTCAGATCAATTTGTTAAAAAAAAAACTACATTAAAAAATAACGGGGTTATTGTAAATGTTTATATCTATAAAACTTGCTATTTTTTAACATCATTCTTAACAACAATTTTGAAACAAATAATTACTTTTCTGTATAGATTCTTGAAGCTAAAACCTTCAAGAACACATTTCACTTTTGTAAAATGTTCTAGACCCATGTCTTCGGCAAGAGTCGTTGTTTAAATTAGTCGTCTCTGGGATAAACAATTAGCTTTTTATATAAACTATTAAACCGATCCAGCTGAAATTTAGCACATATATTAACACCAATGATGTCGTCATCCTCAAAAATGCTTAGCTATTTACACTTGTCATTGCAACGGTTATAAACATTTATTCAATGCTGCTAAAAAGACCCATAGTTAGCTTAATTGCTTATCGATTTCAATTCTTAAAAAATAGAGTCGAATGTCTTTTGTGCTCTAAAATCTCCAGTTTACCGATTATTTATAAAATTTAATTTGAAAATTATACCAGCAAAACACTGAATTTTGAGCTTTTTCTGTTGTTAATAAACAAACCACACATATCTGTCTTTTTTTGTATTTGTCATTTAAAACTTTCAGATATATCCTAAATTTTTTACACGAAATTATTAGAGTCCATAGTGCATGACCAATTAATGCAGTTTATAGAAGAAAACAAAATTTTAGTGGAGGCGCAAGCAGGCTTTCGAAAAAAATATTCCACAGAAACAGCTTTCCACTTTGTAACTGAGAATTGGAGAAGATAGATAGACTCAGAAGAAGTTTTCATAGCAGTATTTTTGGATTTGAAGAGGGCATTTGAAACGATTGATAGAGATATTTTGTTAGGTAAATTGAAGGCATTGCGAAGACGCAACGAAATATTGCAATCAAACACTGTCCCAAGGAAATTACAAACTTCGAGATACCTGATCAATTTGGAAAATACTTTGCTACCATAGCACATACGAAGTTGGAAACGCACTTTCAAGGGATGCCGGCATCGCATTGTACAGTTCAGCGACTTTCTACGAACTCGATGGTCTATGAAGAAGTTACGGCTGCAGAGATCATAGAAATAATAGATGACCTTCCAAATAAAAAATCCTGCGGCAGTGATGACATATCAACGCGAGTGGTGAAAACTATAAAATGTGAGATATCAACTCCACTTTCACAGCTTATAAATAAGTCAGTGCTGAAAGGTAAATTTCCAAAGTGTCTCAAACTTGCCATTGTAATTCCTATATTTAAGAAAGGAGATCCGACTGATATAGAGAACTACAGACCTACATCTCTGTTATCTATTATATCAAAAATTATAGAAAAGTGCCTGCTTAGACGAATCGTTAGCTTTTTAAATAAGTATGACACCATATCAGACAGTCAACATGGGTTCCGGTCTTCACGATCCATAGAAACAGCGTCATTTGACTTTTTTAACAAAGTTTACGAGGACATTGATTCTAACAAATATGTTGCAGGCTTGTTTTTCGATCTATCGAAGGCATTTGATATAATAGACATAAACTTCGTCGAGCAGAAGCTGTATAATCTCGGTATTAGGGACTTTCTTTTACGCTGGCTTGTTTCTTTTCTATCAAACAGACAGCTTAAAACAAGAGTGAATGGTTCTTCGTCGGGGGTGTATGACATAAGCATTGGTGCAGCCCAGGGCTCGGTACTAGCGCCACTCCTGTTCATTTTGTTTATGAACGACCTAAAACTATCTGGCCATATGGTCAACTACGCTGATGATACGTCAGTAGTAGTTAGTGCAGCAACACCAATTGACCTGCTCCAAGCAATTGAGCGAGTTGAAACAGAAATGAACGACTGGTGTGTATCAAACCGCCTTATACTAAACGCTGATAAAACAATGTATGTGCATTTCTACAATAGCAAACCACGGTTGCACAACGATATCTTCTCAGACGGAACCGAATTCTTAGGAACTCATATTGATGGGAAGTTGGGCTGGCAGTCACATGTGAATCATGTCATTAAGAAACTCAATAGTGCATACTTTGCAATCTTGAAACTCAAACAAAACATCTCCCAAACAGCTCTTATAGATATCTACTACGCCTTGGCTTACCCGCATCTTAGCAATAATATAATACTATGGGGACAAGCAGCCATGAACAACAGAGTCTTCATCTTGCAGAAAAGAGTACTCCGGCTGATTTTCAATATCAACAAAAGAGACTCTTGTAAAGATATTTTCAGAACATATAATCTGCTAACATTAATATCCATCTATATATATAAATGCGCTCTCTTCGCATTTAAACATAGGACCAGTTTTATTCAAAATAACACAGTTAACAGGCACTACAACACCAGAATAGGTTTTGACTTAAGTATACCAGTCCACGCAACAGCCCAGTTTCAGAAATCACCACTCTATGCCTGTACAAAAATTTACAATAAACTACCAATTGAGTTCCGCAGAAGCACTAATATGTTGACATTAAAGAAACGTCTGAGAAGATATCTATCAGAAAAGTGTTACTACACCGTCGACGAATACCTAACTGCTTAATTTTATTTATTTATTCTTTTTATTTATTTATTAAGCTTAACGGAAAAGAAACAGTCTATTTATTGCTCCTCTTCTAGACATTTTAAGCGCTCAATTGTTTTTATTTATTTAAAATAGATTTTTTTTTCATGTTCGTTAGATGTCATTGAGAATTTGTTTGTGTTTGTAATGACTCCTATTTTATTGATTTATTTGTTTATTATTTATTATCTCAATTACTGTTTTAATTAACTACCTGTTCTTTTTTTGCTTATCGCATACTTATGTATTGTATATGTAATGTTGACAAGTCTTATGTCGTAGCTATTTATGACCAAAAGACAATAAAGACTATCTATCTATCTATCTATCTATGGTATAACAGGAAGTGTTTTAGATTGGTTTAGAAATTATTTGTCTAAAAGGATGCAAGTTACAAAACTTAATAACACTATTTCATCAAAAATTGAAAATTCGTTGGGTGTTCCACAGGGCAGTATCCTGGGACCACTTCTTTTTATTTTATACATAAATGATTTACCTGCCATAGTCGAAAAATGCAAAATTCAGATTTTCGCCGATGACACTATGATTTATATAAGTACTAAAAATATTCAGTCTGGTATCTCTTATATAAATGAAGACTTGAAGCTTGTCTCAAAATGGTTAGCATGTAACAGACTAAAATTAAATGCAAGTAAAACGAAAGCCTTGTTAATTGGAAAAAAACAATGTACAAATGTTCAACTGAATATTGATGGTGAAGATATTGAATTCGTAGAAAATTTTAAATACCTGGGGTTTTTGTTGACTCTCGATTAATTTTTGATATTCATTATGAGAAAGTTATAAATAAGATTAGTAGTAAAGTGGGATATTTATCGAGAGTTTCTGGATGTCTGAGTTCATATAGCAGAAAAATTATCTATAATACCATCATTCTTCCAAATTTCTTGTACTGTTCGACTATTCTATATTTAGCAAATAATTCCATTTTTGAAAGACTGCAAATTTTACAAAATAAGTGCACGAGAATAATACTAAATAAAGATAAATATACTCCAATTAGGCAAATGCTATGCAAATTAAAATGGCTCAATGTAAAAAATTTTATCAAATATCTTGTAATGATATTCCTTTATAAAGTAAAAAATAATATATTTCCATCAAGTCTAACTAATTTAACATCATCAAATGTCGACCATCATTTACATAATACCAGAAATAAAGATGACTTCCATTTAATGACCAAAAAGTATAACATATGCTACAAATCTGTATTCCATCAAGGGCTGCTTGAATATAATAAGTTATACTCGGAGATTAAAGACCAGAAAACTTTGGAAAATTTAAAGTAAAATTGAGAAATCACTTGTTAAATCTACAATTATAGGTTGCCCAGCATTTACATCATACACCATGTGGCTTGAATTTACTAGTTCTAAGTTGTTTACAATTATTCTGTTTATGTAGCCAAATGTGCTAAATAAATCTTTCTACTACTACTACTATTTCTTTCTCTGTATCCTGGCTTCTCCTGCACCTGCTGTTATACGAATCTATTGTGTCAACTTGGCCCATGGTCGATGTACGGATATATGCCTTCTTTTCCTTGGGATAATATGGCATACTGTTCCTGTTTGGTCGATTTTGATCAATGGATTTGTAAGGAAATCCAGTAAAGCTTAGGTTGTATGTACTAAAATGTATTTAGATACGGGATCAAATAGTTGAAACAATGACATTTTATATTTTACCATACAAGTAGATAAATGTGTACTATAAATATCTATTGTGATCATGTTATATTTTCAATTGAGCTGAGCTCAGAAAGGAGGGGTTGGTTCGACAATGAGCCTTCTATGTGGATGTCTCTTGAAGTATTCATCCCATTCGGCGCGAGGTTCACAGAAAAGGTCATCAACGTGTCGGTGATTCGTGGAAGTGCAATCTGTTTCTCCCAGGTCCAATGTAATTTTCTTTCCCTTATCACTGCAGATACACCTAGGTGGCTTCTCTTCACCACATTCGTATATCCTACAATTATTAGACATGTATTAATCGATTACCGGTCTCGTTCTTTTGACAGTTTAACTTCTGTATTTTGTGTTTTACGACATTGGGGAACTTGTGCTTCAAATACCAATATCTATGAAAAACGTGACTAGGTATTTGTAATTTGGTCAAATATTCGTTTGCTGCGCAAACCGGGCCCATATCGTTAATTTCAGGGCTTTCTGATAGTCCGTTTTTTATTATATATCGAAGCAGCCGCGCAGGCAGAAGCCTAAATGCCGGAACACCGCGTCTGCTGTGATGACCCCAAAGAAATTTTATGAATACGATTTTTGTACTGCGTAAGGTTAGTAGTAGTCGGCCATCCATCGAAACCGGATGTAGAGTGCTGTCGTCAGCAAAGCTGTAGATTGTGCTCATCGCTTAGGAAAGGAGGTCGTTGATGTGTAGAGCAACAACATGAGCCTCACGATAAAACTGGATGAGTTTACTCCACAAATGCGTGACGTAAGCTAGGAGGTACCCTGTGGATCGTTGGTATCGGAAACCATACTGCATGTCGCTAATCAAGCTGTAAGGTGGTCCAGAAGCTCGCGATTTATGCACATCTCCATCTCCTTACTTATAGCAGAAAGCAGAGCTATAGGCCTGTAATTGTAAGCATTTCTAGTTTTCTGGAAAGGTGCCCGATTCATAAGATATCTGGAAGGGACACCTCTTCAGTACAATGGCAGGAATCAGGTGAGGACCAGAAGCTTTGTTGATGTCGAGCGACAAGAGCTCTCATCTTACGGTCTTATGCCTGGGCATTGGGGGAGACATCCATGGTGGAGTTGGCAGCAAAGATCTTGGCTAGCACTTCCGCCTTGGCCTCTGAGTCGAATACAATAGTTCCATCCTGACGCGTAAGTGGTGGAAGGCTTCATTATATGATGACCGTCAATTAGAGGACATTTGTTATGGAGGGCTTCAGGCTTCAATCTTGGGCTCTTGCCTTCTTAATTCTAAATGACTTATTGCATCATATGCCAGGCCTTAGTGTAGTATATGCTGGTGACACATCACAAATGTCTGCAGACCGCAACCTAGCTGTGCTCGAAAGTTTATAAGAAGCAAACAAGTGGTTCATTGCTAATTATCTAAAACTTAACGAACAAAAGACTGAAGGTAGGTCCATAATGATGGGTAGAAATGCCAGAGTCCTTCGGAATGTTATAGAGTTGGGGTCAAGACATTGACTCGCTTGCTGTAGAATTAAGCAAATAACTTTTTCTTTTGCGGAAATTGAAATCACAGGTTAACCTACAAGTATTAAAAGGTTGCTACTTTGGGCTTAGCTATTGTATAATATTATGGGGTAATTCCGGTAGGATAAATAAACTATTCATTATCCAGAAGAAAGTCATAAGAACCATGCTCGGTTTAGGATGTTACGATTCTTGTAGAGATTGCTTCAAAAACTTTAACTTTATATATGCCACTTTAATCGATATACTTGAACATACAGGGTGCCCAATAAGTTCCACAACAAACTTAAGGAGAACGTAGGCTTTGGACTCACCTCCCAAACAACAAAAACTTACCTATATATACTAAGTGACATATAAATCCGAACACCCAGTTTAAATGGTTTTATTTTAATAAAAGTTGGTGAATGTATTTATCTTACTGTAAATAACAAGTGAAAAAAATTTCAGCCTTTTCAGTTGGACATTCCGGTTTTTATACTGCTTTTTTTTTAATTCACTAACGCTCTAAAAATGAATATTTCAGCCGCAGTAAAGAATCAACGTTGGCGGATTTTGGTTCTTGACATCCTTTACGATCGGTTACGATGCCTAGAGTACGGAGACCTGTACGATTTCGTCAACTTAGTGAGTTTGATAGGGGCCGTATAGTGGGACTTCGGGAAGCTGGACTTTCTGTTCGGGCAATTGCAGTTAGAGTGCAAAGAAGTGTAGACACTGTGGTTAGGTGTTGTTAGGCATGGCTTCGAGAAGGGCGTACGCAAAGAGCAAGGGGCACTGGACGCCGCCGTAGAACAACAGACCGTGAAGATCGCCGCCTAAGATTATTGGCCTTAAAGGACCGTTTCTCCACTACCAGGTCCATTGCAAATGAATGGTTTGCAGAACACGGAAGACCTATTGGCATGCGAAGTGTTTACCGACGAATGAGAAGCTTTGGCTTGTTTTCATACCGGCCACACTCTGTCTTCCCTTTAACTCGAGAACACCGACGTAATCGCCTTGAGTGGTGCAGACAACGGTCACTCTGGGATCAGGAATGGAACAGTATTGTCTTTAGTGACGAGTCTCAATTTTGTATAGGCATGCACGATGGTCGTGCCAGGGTTAGAAGGCGACGTTGTGAAAGGAGGAATCCACAGTTTTTTGTTGAAAGACATGTTCATCACACTGTTGGAGTTATGGTTTGGGGTGCTATAGCTTATGGTTCCAGGTCACCTTTAATCTTCATCAGAGGTAACATGAACGCCCAGCGTTATATCCACGATGTTCTAGAACCCCTTCTTTTACCCTATCTTGACACCCTGGCAGATCCAACTTTCCAACAAGATAATGCCCGACCACATGTTGCAAGAGTCACAATAGACTTCTTTCAACATAATGATGTCACATTGTTACCATGGCCACCAAGATCTCCCGACTTATCCCCAGTTGAGCACGTGTGGGATATGATGGGTAGGAGATTGCTCAATGTGCAACGTCCTCCTCAGACTCTAGAAGCACTTCGAGAGGAGTTGGTTGTTGCCTGGAATGAGATACCACAGGAGGACATTGACCACCTGATCAGAAGCATGCCTAGGCGCGTTGGAGAATGCGTAGCACATCAGGGTGCATCCACACATTATTAAAGGTCAAAGGGCTTTAAAGCAGTGCAATCATTTTGAAATTTTTATCATTTACTTATTATGCTTTATTAAGTACTTATGCAAAATTTTATTAAAATAAAACCATTTAAACTGGGTGTTCGGATTTATATGTCACTTAGTATAAAAGTGTCACCGTTTTTGATATATTGAATATTTTCTTAAATTTTAAGGAAACGAACCTTTTCATTTCGTTAAAAGATATTAAGCAACCATGACAAAATAAGGACTGTTTTGAAATGTATAACCTTCTGATATTGTTTCGTCAACCTTGACCGTCTGTGGTGAAACAAAAATACGTACACTTCCTGATAGCAAATATGTTTACAACGTTTTATCAAAATTCAATAAGTGATTTTGGGTGTTGCATTTTATATGTCACTTAGTATAACTGCTTCACAAACAGTCACCAGACTAGACCATCGGATGACTTGAGTGTACCCAAATTCTCACTACTGATATCAAAACAGAATTTTCCACGTTTAGGTCTGTATAATAATCTACCAACAAGTTTTCATCCATACAGTTCGGTTTAAACATATTTTAATGAAGTCCATAGCCGAACAATTCTTTACTCTATGAGTGAGTATTTTGGTTCAAAATTTTAGCCAGAGAAGTATGTGTACTGTTGAGTTCTTATTTCTATGTCTTAGTTGTACCTCATGACATGTCCATCTTGTACCTTGTGTATGAAGGAAGAAGATATAAACATCTGTATATCTCTCAAAATTAAATAATTTTTCCCTACAAACCCTATAATGTTTTGAGGATTCCCAAGAGTAAATTTTCGATAAGCACAATATGTAATTACAGTGCTGCTCCAGGAAAAAATAATGATTTGGAAGCAGCATTTGGACCCAACGTCGTTTGCGCACAAGATTGAAGATACTTTACATGAACCATGGAAATTGTTTGGCTAATAATTTCCTACATAAGCTACCACAACAAACAACTGTTTTCGGTATGTACTACCAATTTTCTTCTCTGCTAGGCTACTTTAACAGTAAAAAATGTTGCTGAAGTAGAAAATACAATCTGAGGATATGTCAAAGTCGATAAATACCTGAAATTCTTTTTTCCTCGACAAAACCAATTATCTCCTTCCTTTTCAGGTTCAAATTCTTCGAAACATTTACATTCTTCTTTAGTTTTCACTACCAACGCTACAGACAGAGTTATACTAGCAGCAAGCAATAGAACGTACCTCCTAAAACAAAATTCAAGTCAAGAACGCACTCAAGTATTATTCCCATCGATTAAAGAGCTTATGACCGTATAACAAGAGGTGTTTGGTACATGTACCAAAAAAAACTGTTTGGCGTTTTTGGACGCTTTTTCTTGATTCTTGATGGAAACCGCAATGCTCTAATCATCGTTTTTATATTTTTTTATGTATAGAGATAATGACCCAAAGTAAACATGAGTCTGTTTTGTGATGTATACTCAGTCAGATCAGATAAACAGTTCTTGTAAATCTTGCCAACCAAATGACTTAAGACTTTCCAAAGTCGTAACTGAGATATTTTGAGAAATGCCTCTGGCATTTAATTTTAAATGCTTAACCGATAACCGACAATCTTGAGCTTGAAAAATATTAGAAAACTGAGAATAACGTACTTACATCGTAAACGCACTTAAAAATAGAAATAATACAACTGCACAATTCAGGTTCTACTTAGCGATTGTTCGGTGTGTATACTTATCCGGTACAAAGAAAAACCGGTATATCAACACATAAATCACAGAAACTACGTGAAGCTTATCGAGAATGTTAAACACATAAATGCGTTCCGATATACCTCTGATACACTGATGTTCATAGCAAGGTCAGATTATGCAGAGCAGTTCGATAGATGCGTAATATAACGTACCATTTTTTCCTCATTCATAAGAATACGAAAATTGTACTATATATATATATATATATATATATATATATATATATATATATATATATATATATATATATATATATATATATATATATATATATATATATATAGGTGAAAAATTAAAGCTTCCGCCTTTTGTTGGCTACTTCGACAAAATTTAAGCAAAGAGGACTCTTTATACTTTTTTAATTCTCTCTAGCTTTCAATGGACTTTGCCATCATCATCAGGAGAGTAGTATGTGAGGATGTTGCTAATTGTTGTTTACGTATAGGATGAGGGAAACGTCCAGTAACATGGTGAGAGCTGGATAGATGGTACAATGGTCAAAATTATATAAAATATGACAAGAATAAGTTAAGAACAGATTAAAAATTATTTAAAAAACATTAGAGCATTACATCGTGAAGCCATTGCACGATGTAATGCTCTAATGTTTTTTAAATAATTTTTAATCTGCTTTTAACTTGTTCTTGTCATATTTTATATAATTTTGACCATTGTACCATCTATCCAGCTCTCACCATGTTACTGGACATTTCCCTCATCCTATACGTAAACAACAATTAGCAACATCCTCACATACTACTCTCCTGATGATGATGGCAAAGTCCATTGAAAGCTAGAGAGAATTAAAAAAGTATAAAGAGTCCTCTTTGCTTAAATTTTGTCGAAGTACCCAACAAAAGGCGGAAGCTTTAATTTTTCACCTAACTGGTCTAGACGGCAATGACCACGTCTCAAGTTATATATATATATATATATATATATATATATGTATATATCAGTAGTCATTCCCACTGCTAACGGCCAGTTGGACAAGAAATACAATTAAATTGTTTATTGGGAATTGGTAAAACGTAAAGCGTAGTGAACTCTTTTGACTGAAGTCTCGAGCTTTCGACAAACTATGTTGTCATCTTCAGGAGCTAAAACACAGAAATAAAAATAGCAACCAATTAAGAACAAATTAAACACATAAATGCGTTCCGATATACCTCTGATACACTGATGTTCATAGCAAGGTCAGATTATGCAGAGCAGTTCGATAGATGCGTAATATAACGTACCATTTTTTCCTCATTCATAAGAATACGAAAATTGTACTATATATATATATATAGGTGAAAAATTAAAGCTTCCGCCTTTTGTTGGCTACTTCGACAAAATTTAAGCAAAGAGGACTCTTTATACTTTTTTAATTCTCTCTAGCTTTCAATGGACTTTGCCATCATCATCAGGAGAGTAGTATGTGAGGATGTTGCTAATTGTTGTTTACGTATAGGATGAGGGAAACGTCCAGTAACATGGTGAGAGCTGGATAGATGGTACAATGGTCAAAATTATATAAAATATGACAAGAATAAGTTAAAAACAGATTAAAAATTATTTAAAAAACATTAGAGCATTACATCGTGAAGCCATTGCACGATGTAATGCTCTAATGTTTTTAAAAATAATTTTTAATCTGTTTTTAACTTGTTCTTGTCATATTTTATATAATTTTGACCATTGTACCATCTATCCAGCTCTCACCATGTTACTGGACATTTCCCTCATCCTATACGTAAACAACAATTAGCAACATCCTCACATACTACTCTCCTGATGATGATGGCAAAGTCCATTGAAAGCTAGAGAGAATTAAAAAAGTATAAAGAGTCCTCTTTGCTTAAATTTTGTCGAAGTACCCAACAAAAGGCGGAAGCTTTAATTTTTCACCTAACTGGTCTAGACGGCAATGACCACGTCTCAAGTTATATATATATATATATATATATATGTATATATCAGTAGTCATTCCCACTGCTAACGGCCAGTTGGACAAGAAATACAATTAAATTGTTTATTGGGAATTGGTAAAACGTAAAGCGTAGTGAACTCTTTTGACTGAAGTCTCGAGCTTTCGACAAACTATGTTGTCATCTTCAGGAGCTAAAACACAAAAATAAAAATAGCAACCAATTTAGAACAAATTTAATTTCCAGTTACTTACTCGTCGATGAGGTTGCTGCTAAATGGTGTTTTAGAACGAAAACGTGGACAAGACCTCTTGTTAGGATCATAAAAACAAAAAACCGTACACATTGGGCTTGTTGTTAACAACGAGACACACAGCTATGCGTTGTAATCATTCGTTAATAAACACGAATGGATTAAAAAATAGAAAGAGTTATCAAATTAGTAAATACTAAAACGACAGAAATTTCATTTGTCACCGTATACCTGTTGCACCTGGTCAAAGTGACTGACCCGGAAATGTGACGTGTCAGTCAGATGACAGATATACGTCATGAAAGAATGTGGAGGTGTAAATTTATTGACAACTTAAAATTCTCAGGTACAGTACATAAGAGGGCGTTCGAAAAATACATATTTCCCAAGACGCTGAAATAGTTTTATTTGGCAATGTGCACCTCAGATGAAGAATATGATGGTACACACCAGAAAATATGGGTTGTGTGAAAAAACTTGAAAAATTCAGTACCACCCTGTCATGCGGACGAGAAAAACTAGTACCCAGTAATAACAAATTTGTTACAACAATTTTTGGTATACATGTCTGATAGAGTTAGGTAAGTAAGTGAGCAGCGTTTCAGAAAAATCCAATCATTCAAAAAATGTAAATATTAATTTGTTGGGGCTTCGCGAATAAGTTTGTGCATACTCCTAGTATGATGATCAATTTTCTCTTGTGTTAAAACTCAGTCTACTTTATAGTTAGTCCTTGATCTGCACTCAAACTACCGACATTTATCAGTTAGAAATAATTTTGCTGATACTAAAATTATTTGAGATATGAAGGTAAAAGGTCACACATGTGACCTTATCTGTCTAAGGTGGTTTGGTTAGATATATTTGTTATTTCTATTTTAGAATACAAATGCTGCAATTAAAATCATATTATTTCTCCTGCTTACTGGATACGAGGTATACATAGATTACTTGGGATCACGTATGTCGTGATTTTGTTTTGTTTATAATCATATAAACAACTATATAAAACATTAGCATGACTAACCAGGAATCACGATGTCACGCAGCTTAGTTTCGAACTTCTTGCTCAGCGGCATCAGTCAATTATAATATCATTTGGCATCCAAGCAGTATATTCCAAGCTAATGGGGCCAAGACCAACAGACAGAAAGACTGACGGAAATAAGTGACATTGTCGTGTCGTACAATCTACCTGTGATATAATATCCAAAAAACAAAATATATCGTTTTCGAAATACCACAAAAACGATAGACATATAAACTTACACACTTCAGTGGTTTCAATGTGAACCGTAGTATTGGAAATTATATACAATATATGTACCCCCAAGGTGTAATGCTATCTCACTGTAACGTCATTTAAAGAGTATCCATTATATATCTGCAATTCCAGATCTAACTATTTTTACAGGAAACTTTGATGTTGCTTTTTTGGAATTACGTTCAAACTATAAATATCGTACTTTTTACTTTTCACAGTGAAAATGCTTTAAGTCAGATTCCCCTGTATACAGATAGCGACCGACTCACCTATTCGAACAGGTTAATTTTGTGGGCTAGATAATACCGATTCAATGGGCAGATATGCTTGATGAGTTCTCAAACGCAACAGATGAGCTTAAATGCAGCTGAGATAAATTCCTCGCCAAAAATAGCTTTTCTGCTCTTAATATACTTATCTTTCACCGGTAGTCACTAACCTGTTTGTTACGACTTGGTAGGGGGTTCTGCCCTTTAACATAAACTTTTCTCTCACAAGGTTGGATCACGTTGTGGGATTTAAGGATTTTTCGACGGGTGTGGGCGAATTTAAAAGATCGCCGAACCTTGAGACAGCGTCCCTACATCATTCCTTCCTCAGGGGTTCTTGACGTTAACATTTAGGGCAGGATGAATAAAATATAACCTTATACAAAGAAGGAGGCTTTCCGGATGTACGTAGGCTCAGCGAAGAGTCAGCAATTAAGGGAATAAAAGAAGAAAAGGACATTTTATCCGAAATGTTGGTAAAACCATCCATGGACAATATCGCTTGAAAAGTGACATTGTGCCGATTTTTTTTGACACTGTATTGGTTTTTTGTGACGTTACGAAGGTTTTTATACCAGATGTTAACTGAGGAATAGCTGACGAACACGTTATGTACTCGTTTTGTAGTTGTACCTGTTGCCTAAACATCATGAGGCTTCAGTTATCAATTTTTAGCTCTGATATGATGTAAAATCTGCTTCAGAGTTAAGAAATAATTATCTTTACTATACACTGTCGAATTACAAGTAATATACATACAATGCGGGCGCGGTGGTGATTTTTTGAAAACACAAAAAAAACGTTAAAATCGTAATTTAATAGCTTTGAACATAACCTGTCTTCATGAACAAATATCACCGATTTTATACGCATGCAGACCAATACACATAATCATCCAGATGCGATCTTGTTATTCAACCAACTTTCTTCTCAGAGATGCAAGCTGCAGACTACTTGGCTTCTCAAAACATATGCAACCAACAATGCGTGAAGTTGAGCTATTCCTCCATAGATGGACGCTCACAACGATCCCAGTGAGCAAACGTCGAACGACTGTTAGCACTCTAAAAACTACCTAGTCTTCAAGATGACATTTTATGGGTTTTTTAGACGTTTTATAGGTTACAAGCAAAAAGTAAATTTCGGCCATCTAATTGGAGAAACACCACTAGAATTTTGGATCATGGAAGTGACACATGTCAATATGAAGCGACATTGAAGTTAATGACGGACGAAAAGAAAATCTTTTGAGAGATGGTGAAGCTTTTAACTACAACATGAGAGATTAAGCGGAAGATTCTTAAGAAGCCACAGAGGAACAATTCAGGGAGATGAAGGTAGTTAAATCCGAAATATGTTTACGATCTTTGCAGGGTCACAGCAGTTGAGGGCTGATCCTACGGACCACGGTGACACCGTAGAGTAAAGATTCTAAATCCAGCTTTGGTAACCGTTCACAGTGTAGAATATTCCAGCCAATAAATCCTTAATTCTGAGGAAAGATCCTGTTTCATTTTTTACAGTTCAGAGACTAATCGGGTAGACCAACAAGTTGGGAGCAAGATTTTGAAGAGTCCATGTCATCCAGGGGACTCCAAGCGGGATGGACCGAAATATGTGGCGTTTGAGAAGCCGGAAATGACAGTAGTCGTAAAAAAAAACCTCATATGTATACGATTCATAGCTATTGTCCATCTATCGAGTTAACTGGAAGACTTCTTCTTTGAGATATCGACAAATTATGCTAAGACTTCCGAAACTTTTCTATCACATTCTCTACTAAAACTAACACTCCTCTTAATGTATCACACACATTTTGTTTTTTGAACAAAAAACCAGTTACCCTTCTGCTGCCTGCACGAAAGTAATACCGACTTCACACAAAAATTTCTAACCTCTCGACCTCTCTAGCATTTTTACTTAAGTTATTCAAAAATGTAAATTTGAAACGGTGAAGGAAAAAATTATCTGATTAATTGTTCTCCAAATCCTTCTGCAGTGGAGTATCAAAACAGTCAAGTTGTTGCATCGTTCTTTGAGGTAGATCCAGTTTTTCAATCACCTTACCATGTGTCCCGTTTTACATTTTTCAAGATCGAATACTAGCACCATTCTCACTGAAGGAGTTAGTAAAAAGATTTCTAATCAATCGAGGATGGTTGCTATTTTACTATTTTTAGCTCCTGATGATGGCAGCTAAGTCTGTCGAAAGCTTCAGTTTTGTAAGTCAAAAGACTAATCAGGAACGTATGCGGATGCTATGGGAGAAAAAACAGTCGCTTTATATTAAAATGAGAAACTGGGTATGTCTCACGTCGACCGCTTTACCTATCCACCGCAATATTTCAAGCTGCAGGAGGGGGGAACCGCTCTTGACATCCAATAATTCTTTCGTTCGTCCCTCACCCCACCCTGCCTTCCCTCAGGACCTGAAAACGCTGCTTTCTGCGGTTTCGCGGCGTATCAGTCACCAGGGGTGGATTTGCTGAATGGCTGCGCTATGACTTTCAAATCAGTCCAGTAGGAATATACGGAGAGATAAACATTTTGCTTTCGTCAGCTTTGGAACCATGGAATAGAAATTAGGCTAGAAACCGTTGCATATAAGATAAGATTCAAAAAAGGGTGTCACGTAGATCGACTCTACGTTTCCCATGCGTTTGAAATGACGTCCAGTACAATTTTACAAGTTTACGTTGACGGTTTTGAAGACATTAAAAAAATTATTTTGTATATTTGAAGTTCAACGTATCTTTTTAATGAAGCCCTAGAGAAAAAACTATTACATAGAAGACCCCCCTTAAAATGCGGTCCTGTGTATGATGTTTTATTTTTGGTCAGGACTTATGGTTCACCCTGTATACATATTTTTTACACCGAAATTATTTTTAATAAGGGGCCTTATACTTTTAGAAGAAAAAATAATGACTTTCGGTTTAGATGGATTCCACCGATTCTGTTGTATAATTTTCAATAGAATCTAGGTACTCTATTATTTGTTTTTATAATTGTGAGTCGTCAGCAAAAAGCTGAATACTACAAAGTTTCACAACCCTGCTGCTATATACAAAATAAAGAGAAGCGGTTCAACAACTGATACTTGAGGCATTCCTGAAGAAATCACACGTCCTGTAGAATATTCTGAATCAACGACGACCTGTTGGGATCTATTTGTCAGACTAGAAGAGGACTGAGAGTGGAGGCCTGATGTATACCCATTCTTAGGGGCGATTTGACAGATGAATCTATTGCAACTCGCAGAAAACGAAAAGCAGATCTACTACAAGCAATTTGGTCAGCTCAATTTACCTATAGAGTACTGGATGATAACGGACAAGTAGATCTCATTTTCATCGATTTTGGTGAAGCTTTTGACAAACTTGATCACAACATCTTAATATCGAAATTACATATATAATTATTTTGTCTAGCTAAGTGGCAGACTCGTCTTTGGGACAATCGACGATTATGCAAAGTGTACTCTTCCAACTTACAACTCAAGCTTTCGATAGTCTCTGATGTCATCATCAGGGGCTAAAAACGAATTTCGAAATATAATAAATAGCAACCATACTCAATTAATTGGAATTCTCTCACGTACTGCGTAAGCGAGAGTGCTGATGAGATTTGATTTTAGAAAATGTGGATGAGACCACACGGACCATCAAAAACTGGATGTTCGTTCCAAAAGGAACCTCATAAAAATCCATTGACATACGACGTCTCTGTCTTATCTTTGTTTGACGATGACGTAGAGAAGAAAACTAAAGTAAAAATTGTTGCAAATTTGGAGAACCTTCCGGCCCACTTCATAGCAAGTCTGACGAATAAATTTTCGCTTGTCTTCTTCTACGATATAACATGATGGAAACGGAATATTTGGGAATCAAACTGTCAAGCTATGGAAAAGTGGAAGAAGTACAAAAACAAGTGAACATGGCGAACAGAGAAGCAGGATGTCTCAACAATACAATCTAGAGAAACAAATACCTCACAACGGAAACGAAAACTATGATATACTTTGAAGTTGAGTCATTAATTTTCAGATAATGATTGTAGAAGGAAGATAAACCAAAATAGGTGTGTAAAAATAAAAAAAAAAATTAAAAAAAAAATTTTACCTTGTTTTATAAAGTATCATCCATATGTGAGGTCTTAAGTCAAATGATTCACGAACCCGTTGTACTACATTAACAAAGGCACGAGGGGTTGGTTGCACTCGATTGGGAAACCGATCCGCATAAACATGTGCCATTTTTTATTTCGTTTGAGCCACGCAACAGACACCACTATCCACTACCGACTGACACTGACTGTATACAACTGAATGAAGTAATTGTAAAAACATCGTTCCAAATTCTTTCGCTTTTTTGTT